TTACTTGTTTTTTGTGAACTGGCTCTCACAGATGTTAAGACCTATAATCTTTAGTGAATGCTGGGTTTGGAGAAGATCATGACACTGTAACCTGTTATAACCTGTTCTTCTTAAAGTCAGTTATATATGGCATTGTATTTTTGGATTAAACATGAATTTATGAATTTAATAATAATTTTATGAATGTAACCCTAAAAGTTGAAGTTGTACAGTTAAAATGGTGTAGATTTGGCATGGACCAGGGGGAAATGTCCCCACCAATATCCACCAATTACTGAAATGCCCCATACCAATACTTTAATCGACATCAAAATAAAGTAATGCTCCATCAGCTCTTAACCTATGCACCAACTCAAGTTCGCTACAAGTTCACCATAATACTATTAACCAAGGCAGTGCAATTAATTAAAATTCAGTTTTGATTTTGGCCTGCATGATTATGAAAAACAGTAACCGGGATAAAACAGTTAAATTGTGTCACACACCTCTCTAAATCTCTCTACATTCATACCTCCTCAAAGCCCGACTGCAATAAAATCACATAAATTGACTTTTTCAGCATGGAACGAGATTGTTGTTTGTATTATTAACTGTTTATTTTATATTATTAAGTACTTTAATTATGTTTATAAAAGTGCAAAACATAATTTGTGCTGTTTCAATGCATGCACTCTAGTGATGTATGTCCCCACCAATGTCAAGAGGGAATCTACACCCTTTTACAGTCATTTTAGGCACAATTATTAAATTAGAACTTTTTTCAAATTGTTTCAGAGTGCTCTTTAATGAAGAGAAGTTTTTATGAGCACATTTTTGAATATGATAGCTTTAGTAACTAACTTCTAATATCTAAATTATTTTGTCTTGCACATGATGACAGTAAATAATATTTTATTAGTCATTTTCAAGATAATAGCATTCAGTTTAAAGTGTCATTTAAAGGCTTAACTATGTTAATTAGGTTGATTAGGCAAGTCATTTGACAACAGTGGTTTGTTCTGTAGGCAAAAAAAATTTCTAAAGGGGGCTAATAATTTTGACCTCAAAATTTGTTTTAAAAAATAAATTAAATGATTTTGTTCTAGCCAGAATAAAATAATTATAAGACAATTAAGGCCCTTAAAAGGTATTAAAGTCTTAATCGTGTTTTTTACAACGTCTTAAAATTAGTTCAAGCATTGTCCAAAGATTTTGACTCCCCAAAAAAAGTATAAATATATTTATTTTCCTCCTATTGTTACCAATGGCGTGCTTGAAGTCACGTAATTTGCGACAAACACAGGAAGGTGATGTGACGCTCTCTACATACTGTATAGCGAAACCATAGGGAAAAACAGACAGCAAAATGGGAAAATGTAAGTTTGTGTACTCCTGGTTGGAGAAAGATGAGCTTAAACAATGGCTGAAGCCTGTCACAGAAAACAACTGCATTATTTATTCTTTCAAGCTTTGTTTCTTCTGAGCTTATTTTAGTTCTGTTGCGTGGTTGTACTTCATTGATTTATTTAACTACAACTGTTTATTAACAACTGTTTATTAAGTTAAAGGTTTGATACTGATTAAAACCTAAAGTGGCGATGACGTCTTAAAATATTCTGAGAAGGTCTTTGAAAAGTCTTTAAAAGGTATTGAAATGACCTTTTAGGATTCCTGCATAAACCCTGAATAGTTGGATAAATATTATTTAATGATACGCTGTCATAACAAAACAAAAAAAAAAAACAAGTGTGGGAGCATAATTCACATGAATAACGGATCAGTTTAGTCAGCTACCAAGCACAGATCATTAAAAATCAAAACTGCAATCGATAACATAATATCGTACTATATTTTAGTAGCCATATTGTGTTTTTTGTCACGAAAATTATTTCTAAAAAAAAAGAGATTGAAGATGTGGTCCATGTAAATTTATTTATTTGCTCAATACTTACTGTATTTATCAACTTATATATCATTCCTTAACCTAAACTTTACTTGTTTTCACTTTAAACAAACAAACAAAAAAACATGATTATCACAGACCAAATTGAGTGTAACAATAATTAACAAAAGTCTTATAATCGTATTAAGGTCAATAATCATTTGATGACTTGTTTTAAAAGTCTTTCTTTCTTTCTTTCTTTCTTTCTTTCTTTCTTTCTTTAGTATATTATAACTGCTGCTGCTTGTGGTGTCACATTCAGCCTGTGTTTATTTTATTTTTCAATCACTTCTAGCTTGATCCTCCAGTGACCTGTTTCCACGTGTTCCTTTCAGTCATTTGCTCAATAGTTATTCATTTAACAATCTCATCTGTCAGCCTTTGAGTTCATTATCAATGTGTATTTAAGCTCCTTGTTCTCATTTGTATCCGATCCAGTATTGTTTGAACATCAATGTTAAAGTGCTCATGTTACTTATACTCTCATCTCAGTCGATTTATAATTAAAAGACTACACTGTTGTATATGTGTATATATATATATATATATATATATATATATATATATATATATATATATATATATATATATATTTTTTTTTTTTTAAGAAGCTCATGTGATTTAATAAAATGATTCTGAAAAAAAATGCTATATTAAAAAATTAAGTTACTTTTAAAGGAAAGATTAAAATGAAAAAAAAAAAGTGTTTGTTTTTACTTTATTCAAGCGCGTAGATATTAAAACATAAACTCCACTATTATACGTAAAATTGTATTTTAATTGGAATTGCTTATGTTTACATTTGATTAAAAACCAAGCAAGTCCTACTAAGCTTACTAACACTGGTGTTTCCATAATGCTTTGGAGCATTTAGCTTCCCCTGACTAATTTACAATTGTACTTTACTCAATATCGCACATTCATTGACTGTTAACATAATTGTGTATTGTGTACCACATATTTATGTTTGTTTAGTATCATAAACTTATCATATATATTGTAACAATACATTTATTGTCTTTTTTGTTTACTAATATTTGTAATAGAGGAAAACCCCTTTGAATGGCAGAACAATACTTTAAATAGCAAAGTAAATTTTAATTGATTAAAAATAACACAACAAACAGTAACTTAAGTAAATATTATTTAAAGAGACAGTTTACCCCAAAATTATATTTATTTACTATTTATTCGCTGTGAAGTGGTTCCAATCCTTTGAGTTTTCTCTCTTCTGTTGAACACAGAAGAATATATTTTGAAATCCTCTCACCATTGACTTCCATAGTATGAAAAGCACGTGTTGTATGTTCAACAGAAGAAAGAATCTCAAACAGGTTTCAAACAAGTAAAGGGAGAGTAAATTGACAGATTTTTCATTTTGGTTGAACTATCCCTTTAATTCAATAAAAACATTGTAAAAACTTGCCAAATTTTAACTTTTTTCAGTGTGTGGTAGAAATAAACATTTTAAAACGAATTCTAAATTCAGTTCTAATTTCCAGCAAATGAATAAATGAACAATAAATAACGAAGTGTGCTCAGAAAACTCCAAACACACGTCCTGTACTTTTGCCCCATATGGTGATGCAGACATCTCCAAAACCCGACAGATAAATCTAAACTTGTTGTTATTAAAACAATTATAAATATGCTTATAATAAACAATACTGCTAATAATAATAGTAACATTATACAAATGCAAATTGTCATGAATAAACTGAAAAAAGGCATGGAGGCATGAAGAAGACATGGAGGTAGTGGTTTATATATTTATATATAGAACATAATAAATTTTGTAACGTTTTATTCTTTGATTTTTTAAATATGTAAAGATATTTGTATATTGCTGTACATCCTGTGTGTATTAAGCAATGTGTAAGCATTTGAACCTGCATGGGCGCATAACAAATGCCCTCTGCGCTGGAGTAGACCTGCTTTTAGATTGTCAGTGACGCAGTCTATTTCAGTTCTTTAAAATAGCAACGCGCCAACAATACGCCTTAACACACCTCTATTTTAGACCAGCACACCCATGAGTCCACAAAGTGGAGCAAATGGATTTGCTATTTAAACAACGTGGTGCAAAATGTAAAGTTTAGGGTTGCACTGGTCTGAAAATAGCAAAAAGTCTTGCCAAATGCTTGTTGTGCCTTATTATATATCAGGGCCCATGATATTGCATAAAAATAGTCACTTCCAACATTTTGGTTATCACATTATTTCTTTAACTTCATGACTTTTTCATGCGCATGACTGAATATACTCAGTAAATATGTTTCCACTGTGGTTTCCATCACACATTTTTCTTACCGAATAAACAGTTTACACTACTCAGTGGTGCATCTAACTTTTTATGCAAATTTATAAAAATGTATGTGCATTTTGGTTTTACCATTAACCTTTTTTATGCAGTCATAGAAGTATAACATTTCCAACAATGTCACTTTTAAGTTTTGTTGCCAGTAAAATGGAAGCCTGTTAACAAAGAATGCAAGCTTAATGGCACTGAAATTAAATACTGCAATTTTAATAGCTTTAAATGGGGGCACTTTTGTTCTGGAGGTCCTGGCAATTTTTTTTATTTATTTATTTTTTCTAAGAGGTCAAATTATTAAAAGTGAATTGAACATGCAAAAAAAATCTGCATTAACACAGACAAAATGATCACAAAAATTAATGAAAAAGATGAATTCACAAGGGTTTAAAGTGTATATAGTTCATCAGAAAAAAACAGTAACCTCATTCCAGTTCCAAAGAACCATTCCAATCGTTGGCAGAAGATAATCCACTTAAGATAAAACCTAAAAACCTTTCAGTTGTTACACATGCTACACTCAATGACATCTCATAGTGCTCACAAACAATTCCTACCAGAGCATTGTGTATTTCCACAAGCGCCTGCTCTCTTTGTTTGATTGACATAAGTATTTAAACCCTTTGCATTGTTGATTAAATATGTGTGTGTGTTTGTGTGTGTGTGTGTTTGAATGTCATTGGTTGAGATGAGGAGGGACTGTTTTAACATGATCTTTATCTGTGTTCGAATAGACGTGTTTCTCGAACTTAGTTTGCACCTTACCTTCCGGTGGTTGAAGTGTTTTGTCGTTTTGCGCACACCAGCCGACTGGATGAAGTTCGGCTGTCATGACGTCACACCAGAAGTCAGCCTTGCGGTCTTCACCATAGCCACAGTAGCGTAACAGTAGCAGCTGACCACATGTGGTTATGATGGTGGCCACCCAGTATGTGTCCACGCTGCCTTTATTGGCCACTTCTAGCTTCATTCCTGGCTGAAAACTGCTCTGAAGACTGAGTTCCACCTGTATGTACAATCAGATGAGATGATGTTAAAGGCTGGGTTGTTTTAATCGAACTTCGAGTAAAATATGGACATAAACAGTGGTTTTTACCATTTTAAGTTGATTGAACATAAAACAATTAATAGACAGTAAGTTAGAAGTTGGATTTAGGTTTTGAATAGAATTAGTGATGCAGAACAAGATCATACTTTATAACTACTAATAAACATTAATATCTGATATGCAGGTAATTAGCTAGTAGTTAATAGCATGAATTGTGATCTAAAGTGTCACCCAAAATTGCCCAAAGACATGAATAGGTGTTGTTTAATAGTTTTATGAAAACCTTGAGGGAATTTATTCACTTCCAAATAAAATAATAATTAAGAGTTTTTTTTAGTTTACAGACACCTCATATGGTTTAATTACTGCATTTTACAACTCCATATGTCATACAGGTGCATTGTCACAGATTGTAAAAGTAGTTGAGAGTTGAAAGTACGCTGAACCAGTTTTTTTACATAGTTAAAAAATTATATTAAAGGTCTAAAGCTGGAAACACAAATGAAAAGTGTAGCTCGATTTTTCTGCCAAGTTTTTTTTTAAATATTTTTTTTATTTATATATATATATTTTTAATGGGTAGATCTTGCCTTTCAGCAAGGCAGAGGTAAGGGATCTTGGACTAAAAAAGGCTGGCGACCATTGATCTAAATTGAACTAAAGTCAGCTTGTTTTTGTTTTTTTGTACATGTCTCAAATGGTTTTACTTATTGACCCAAAATTTTCAATGAGACATTTCAGTAGCAGCCCAACTCAGTATCAAACCTAACCTGTATTTCATGTTGTCCTGGTTGTATTTGTAACGTTGCTCGTAATGTTGAAAATGAAACAAAATAATGTGCCCTTGTTGGAACCAGTCCAATTGTGTGGTTTTTACAGTGAGCTTTATTTATTTATTTATTTTTTTGTCAAAATACCCTGGAGAATATTAACAGCAAATATTCATTCAAGGGTTTGGGGACAGCATGTTTGATTGATTAAAGAATTAATAAATAATCAAAAAATGTATCGATGAATGACTATTAAATTAATTAATTGGTGATTTATTGATGATTAAAAATTATTAATTGATTGATTGATTGATTAATTGATTGATTGATTGTTTTAAAAGTTTTTTATGATCACCAAGGCTGCATTTATAATCCAAACATTTGACTAAAACTTTCAAGTTGGGAAATATTACAGTTTATTAAAATCAGTTTTTATTTTAATACAATCGAAAATATACGTTCTTCCAATGATGTAAAAACAGAATTTTCAGCATTATTACTCCAATGTTACATGATCCTTAAGAAATAATTTTAACATGCTGAGGAAACTTTTTTATTTATAAAGTTTATTCTTTATAACGTTTATTCTTTACAAAGTGTAACTCAATTTGACATCACTGAAATAGAATTGCAGATTGGGACAATGTGCATCCCTTCTCCTTTTTAGTAACCAGGCTCAATAAAATTATGTGCCTCTGCCTGCATTTTTCCAAAACATAAAACATGTTTATCTGGGTACATTTCATTGTAGTTTGAGATGACAAATTCTCTAGAGATGTTACTAATAGAATGTTTATATACACCGTTCCCGCATTATTTGCGTCAGTTACATTCTAAAAATAACCCGCAATAGGTGAAATAGTAAAGTAGTCAGCTTTGTTTTATACAATTATAGATGTTTTTAGGCCGTAAACCCCTCACTACACACTTTATACACTTTTCTCAGACAGACAATAACATTTTCACACTTTTCTCTTTTGTTTAAACACTCTCAAAATTCAAAAGTAGATATGTATACTTTTATATTCATTTATTAAAAGAATTGTGTGTGAGTGTGCAAGCTCTCACATGTCTAAATGAAGTGTGAGGGGCAGCAGTGGCTCCAGTATCCTCAAGATATTCTTCCCAGTTGAAATCTACCTCCTCTTCTCCACAATCCATGCTTGCTAGAAGAGAGAGACAGAGCAAATAAGTTTGTGTCAGCATATTAAAATTTCTTGTTGTTTTTTTCATACATGTATTGTGGCTAGATATTATGATGAAACATAAATGAAACCTATTCCGTGCAAGTACATGAAGCCATTTCTAAATAGCTGGGTTTTGTGTGTCATTGCAAAATGTACAAAATTCTTAATCCACAATATCACTATTGCTATAGTGTGCAAAATATAACATCACTTCTACTATAGAAAGATTTGTGGATCATTTTCAACTAAAAACCAAAGACTTTGTATGCACTTTGGCCGCTTATTTGCATACATGACAACTGTTGTTCTGGGGGCACACTTTTAAAATTGGCTGTCAAAGTGTATGTTTTTTTTTTAAACGATACCATTATAAATTATGTGTAACTGCAAAAACACGGAGTACTGTGACATTATTATTGAATGTGTGTGTGTGTGTGTGAAGCAATATAATATGCACAAAAAATATTGGGCTTTTTCTCTAAAAAACTTGTTACTCTACCCCGTTTAAAGCATCATTATGGACGTTTTCACGTTATAACTAACGTGGCTCAAACGATGGATCTGCAACAAAACAATAATGGTTTTGGGAAAAACTCGTCACTACATAGTTCTTTTCCCAAATGATGCATATTTCGTTTTTTGGGAAAGGCACCTCTAGTTAAGAATATTAAACTGACATCAAACTGACGTCATCAGAGAAGAACCAGCACTACAAACACAGAAGCAAATGTTCAGACTTTGATTGAAGTTTAGCAAAACAAACTTTTTTTTACTGAACTCACTTCTTTATTTTTTCACCTAAAGAACAACAATGTGCACTAGTGAAATAAATACTGTAAATTTGGATTTCACATGGATTTTAAAAAGTAATCTGTCATCCACTTCACTAATTTTGCAGGGTGACGCAAATGCACTGAAGCGTTTTGATGAGCAAACACAAGAAATATTCATAAACTTGCAAGTGCAGCATTCCCTTTTCTCCCACATCTCCCTCTCTCTCTCTCTCTCTCTCTCTCTCTCTCTCTCACTCTCTCTCTCTCTCTCTCGCTCTTCAGCTTACTAACTTGACTAAAAAGCTAATCTCATAGCATTATTACAGTAATAAACACTCCATTGACTTCAGGTTTTACATTAGCTCATTTATGCTATGAGTCATCTGTTTCATCTTCTAAAAAATCAAATGTGTGGGGAAGTCTATTCATTGCTTATGACTTGTTCACTTAAAGAAAAAACTTTAAACGATTCAAGATGAAACCCTCATTCAATCTAACCCAAGGACATGGTGGGTAAACATTCCACATTGCTCTTACTTTCTGAAGACTTTGACATAGTGGAAAAAAACATTCCTATTAACTCAAGTAACATCTACAAATATAATTATCAACAACTACCCCAATCACACCATAGCAAAAATAAAATGTAGAAATACAGTTGAAGTCAGAATTTTTCTTCCCCCTGTTTATTTTCCCCCCAATTTCTGTTTAACGAAGAGAATATTTTTTAACACATTTCTAATAAAATCTGTCTTGATAAAAGTAAACAATATTTGACTAGATATTTTTCCAGACACTTCTATAAAGCTTAAAGTGACATTTAAAGGCTTAACTAGGTTAATGGGTTAACTAGGCAAGTTATTGTATAACGATGGTTTGTTCTGTAGACTATCAAAAATAAATAAATCTTAAAGGGGCTAAAATTTTTAACCTTAAAATGGTTTAAAAAACAAAAAACTGCTTTTATACTAGATGAAATACAACAAATAAGACTTTCTCCAAAAGAAAAAAAATATTATCAGACATACTGTGAAAGTTTCCTTGCTCTGTTAAACATATTTAAAAATAAAAAATATTTAAATATTTAAAAATGAAAAAATAAAAATTCAAAAATTCAAAGGGGGCTAAGTATTCTGACTTCAACTGAGTATAATATTTGGCCCAAAAGTCATATTTTTTTAGAGTATTTTTTTATAATTTCCTTACTGAATTTATCTAGTTATATATACTAGTTGGTTCAACGATATTTAGTTGTAATAGCTGTTCAATCAATCATATAACTATTAAATGTCACCAACAAAATGTTATGAACAAGCAGTTTAAAGTGGTATGAATGTATTTACACAACAAATGCTTAATGTACAGTAAATAGCCTACTACATCAATATAAATGACTCAACTGAGAAAAAACAGCACTTCATATTATGACTAAACAAACAACATATGATGGTCTGTAAATTTAGAGTATTTCCATAAGTGCAGAATTAGTCAGAAACACACTCTTATACACTTGACAAAACTTTTTTTAAACTATATATATATATATATATATATATATATATATATATATATATATATATATATATATATATATATATATATATATATATATAATATGCGCAATATATTGTTTCAACATCAATATTGCATTGTGTGTGTCCACAGTAGTCATAATGCAGAATATGCAACGTTGAGTTGGGATTGTTATTTTTCAGCACCACTAAATTATAACCATAATAGAGTAAACATTTATCATTAACAAACTTTTTAAAGTCATTTCAAGTGAATTTGGGCACAAAAACAGTGTTGTTTTACATCTGACTTTTTATATTTTTTAATTTCTGATTAGTTGTTTATTAATAATTATTGTTCTTTTGTCTTTGCTGTATTGTAATTATTTATGCTTACTATTTGTTTATTTTTATACATTATTCACTCTAAATTCAAGGGCTTCTCTTGATTTTTCCTTTTTTTTTAAATTTGTATTTAATATTTTTCTATAACACATATTTGGGTATACTAGTTTTTGGACCGTAATCATAAGTTATTTTTTTAGATTAGCTCCAGATTTGGCTTCAGTACTGCCTAAACTAAAGTATATTTACAAATATAATATTGTATAGCTTCCTACTGAAAATATAAATTTAATAGATAGTTTTGTGAGGGGTGTTCGTATACAGTATATGCTGAGCACTGTATATTTAGTTTTTTCTCTCTCTATTTTGACAGCCCATTTTATATAAGTTTATGAAGTTAAAGTTTATGACTTCATTCATACAGTAGACAGATCACTCCCAAAACAAACTGATTTTCTGCATTGTTTAGCTGGATTTAACATGCAATAATAATAACACAAAGCAAGCTCAGGCTAAATCTTATTGCAAAGGTTACACGGCAGTACAAATAACTTTATTAAATGTATCCATTTACATATATTATATACAATATAATAACTTCTTCAATGAATCAGAAAACTATTAAACATTACCTTCAGAATATGTCCAATCAACAATCTATTATGAATGTATTTACACATAAATTTTTATAATGCGAATAGTAATAATAATGCAAACAAATTTACTTTTCGTTTCTGCATGCATAATGCTTTATAGTGCTAGCTAAGACTAAATGCAAAAGGTACATGTATAAATTACTTTTTTAAATGCCTACTAATCTCTGAAATCGAATCAAATTTTCTCAAAATGTAAGTTGCAGAGATACGTATCATACCACACAGTTCAATATAAAAATGTAATAAAAAAAAAAGAAAGTTGCTTTAAAATTAGGTTTCAGTTCTTTAAAATCTATTCTTGGATTTCTCATAATCTGAAACAGAAGAGATCTACGTTTAATTTAAGCCATGCCTTGTTGCTTGTTGATGAGTTGCATATAAACTATTACTCATATATACATTCATCTACAACTGACCCTTGAAATACTCTGGATTATTCAGAATGATTACAATCTAGATGAGCTGTCAGATCATCTATGTAGTGTTTTTGTGAAGATCTGTCCTGCTCTCCTATTGGTTGATTTCAAACGTAATCACTGATGATGTCAGTACAGTCACTAAGGTGTGAAAAGTTGCTGACTGGCAACCAAAAAAAAAAAATAACACAGCATGTTTTAGTTCTAATTGTGCTGCAAAAAAACTGAAGAATGCTACACTTTTTCTTGGCTTATGCTGGTTTGAATTTTTTTTTTTTTTTGTGCTGGTATGCAGCGAAACTTGTTAATCATAAATTTGTAATACATTCAATAGCTCATTAAAGCTCAAATTTGTGTTAAAATTGTTTTTATAATGCCAAATAGCTTATTATTGTAGTTCTTTGAGGAAGGTATCTACAGTATACAGGTCTCAAACTGAAAAAAAAATCCTGATGCCTTAATTTTTTTAAGCTGAATCAAATTAACCTTATGAATCCATTGAACTTATATTATTTTAAACTGACTTAAAACAGCTTGCATAGCTTAGATATTTAAGTTAGAACATGATTAACTTAAAAAATATGCTTTCAGGACTTATTGATCATATAATGTTTACAGTGCATGCTTTATAGAACCTATGCACTAATATGCTAATCTGTAAATTACACAATACCCGAGTATATATCATACTCTTAGAAGCTCTTTATAAAATGCAATAACGTCCACATATTTTTCACGAAACTATTTTCCACTTTATTTCCCCTAAAATTCTTAATTTAGGCAAAAATCAGTTATCACCATATTTCCCAAGTTGATGGATCACATAAGGAATTGCAAATATTATTCTTATTATTAGTTTTTTTAAATAAAATGTTCAATTTAAAGTTAAACTTTGGCTACAAAAAAAAAAAAAAACATTTAAACTCCATGGAACCTTTTCACAATACAAAAAAAAAATTGTCTTAGTGGTATTAAAATGTCAAAAAGTCACTCACTAAAAGCTTCTCAAAAAATAGTTTTTACAGCACTGAAACAAAAGTACATTCTGGACTTTTCCAAAATGTACACCTGAAAAATAGTTGCTAATACCTAAACTCCTCCATACACACTACAACCTGTATTTCTTTTTTTTTTTTTTTTTTGGAGTTAAGAGCAATGAATAATACATACATTGAGATGTTAATGCATATTTCTTCTATTGAAGTCCTGGTTTTAGATGGAACTAAGAATGAGAAGTTCACTTTAACACTTGAAAACCACTTCCTTGCAAATGACTCA